ATGTCTTCAGTGTCTTTTACGATTTCTCAAGCAAATGAACTTTTTAATAACTCTATATCACCTTGAGTAAGTGGGTCTTCAGTAATTTCGGCTAAGTCTGATATTAAAGAAATGCTAACTTCAGTTGAGTTTGACAAAAAAATGATAACTTCAGCTAAGTCTGACAAAGAAATAATAGTTTCAGCTAAGTTTAACAAAGAAGAAATACAAATTTCAGCTGAGTCTGATATGAAAAAACTGTCTAATGTAAGAGAAATATTTGGTGTAGAAGAAATGTCTGAAATAGAAATATCTGATGTAGAAGAGATAATGTTTAATATAGACAAAGTGTGCTTTACAAATCATGAAACAATTAAACAACTTTGGATAGATCTAAAAAATAAACAAACACTTACAGTTACTGAATATAATGAATGACAGTCAGTTTATGAGTATTTGGTGTAGTTAGAAGGTGGTACCAGAAAGATAAAAGCAAGTAATGAAGCTGTGAATATTATCTATATTTTTTCAAAACCATACACAGCACAAAGAATTTGGTTTTTGGCTAATTTTTATTTACAACATGGTTCATTTCCAATTACACAACGCAATAAGCACCAAAAGTGCAAGTGAATGATTGATGATAAGGATATTGTATTGCAATATCAACAATAAATACGCGAGGAATCAGATGTAAATAGTATTAGCTCATATTGTTTTATGCAGTATGTAAATAATGTTATTTTACCTAAACATATAGAAGATAAAAAAAACAATTACCGTAAAAGATCATATAAAAGATCCCCTCATATATCAGATTTCCTATGAATTTGACCCAGGTCTATAATATGGATTAAGGTTTTGGTAAAATATAAGAGACCTGATATATAAAAATAGAAAAACACTAATAAAACAGAATAAACCCTCTATTTATCAGACCTATACCCATACAAGAGATCTACAGGTCTACTAGAGATTTTAAAATTGGTGGAATATAACAAACCCAGGTCTTTTATATAACCTTTTACGGTAGTCTGCGTACTGCAAAAAAATGGTTAAATACTTTGAGTATGAATGTAAAGAATATAAAAAGAGTGTATATTTCAATAGACATGAAAGAGAAGATGTTGTGGTATATAGACAAATTTTTTTAGATAGAATGAGAGTGTTAGAGCAAAGAATAGCAATGTGTAAAGAAGAAACAATAATAAAGTTCCACCAGTTTTAAATAGAGGGAAACAAGAACTAATTTTGTAATCTATGATAAAAGTATATTTTACACAAATAATGAGAAGAGAAAAATTTAGATACCTACTAGAAATATGTTGTTACGAAAAAAAAGGAACAGAAGATCAGTAATAGTGTGCGAATTTATTTCAGAAGAGTGTAATCGATTAAAACTAAATAATGAAGAAATAAGAATGCATCCAAACATTTCTGCAGAGGCACGATGCTATATAATGCCTGGTAAAAATTAAGAAAATTATTAGACTATTAACAATTTGTTAGATCAAGTCCAAAATAAAGCGATTCTAATTTTTGAGGCAAAGTTGCCTAACACAACTACTGTTTTTGCTTTTGACAACAGTACTAATTATGCAATATATATAAAGAATGCTTTTATTGCATCAAGAATGAATTTGGAACTCAGAGAAAACTAACCAGAAATGTGGTCTACAACTTATGTCAATGCTAATAGAATTCGAAGAGTCTAACAGATGATTTTTGATAGAGATTATGAAGATTCGACGATGCAAGAAAAGCCAAAAGGAATAAAGTTAATATTGCAAGAAAGAGGACTTTGGAGGGAAGAATTGTATTTAGAATGCAAACTGTGTAAAAATAAAGAATCATGAAATAATTTTTTACAAGTAAATTGCTATGTGAGAAGGATTATGGCTACCTAGTCTGATTTTATTATGCAAAAGTCAGCTATTGTAGAATTAATTGAGGAAGCTAGTCATTTGTATATTTTTTATCTGAAATTTCACTGCGAATTCAATTTTATTGAAATGTATTGGGGTGCAGCCAAGTGCTATACAAGAAATTATTGTGATTACTTTGGGTTGGCTTACAATAAACTATTTCATATGCACTCGACTCTGTTGATATTGTTACAATCCAAAGGTTTGCTAGAAAATTTTGGAAGTATATGGAATTGTATCGTGAAAGATTAACTGGACAATTGGTGAAGTTTGCTTGCAAGAAATTTAAGTCATATAGATAGATCTCACGACAAGAATTGGATCTTTTCATGCAAGAAAATATTTGATCGTATTGTAAATTTTGGTTTTATTTTTTATCTTATTTTTTTTTATAAAATTCTTAAATAGTTTATTTGATTTTAGACTAAATGAAAAGATGGATAGAATTATTAGAATTATTGATTCAATTTCAGAAGCAAATAAATTTGAAAAAGACTTGATTTTGTATTTTTTTTTTTTTGATAAATTTTAATTTTTTTGAGGTTTAATTTTTCTTAAATTTTAATTTTTTTAAGATTTAATTTTTCTTAAATTTTAATTTTTTTTTGGTTGGTTTATTTCACTTTTTTTTTCTTAAAATATAAAATGCATATTTAACTTAAACATTAGCAAATTAATTCAAATTTAATTCGGTCGAATTATATATAAGGATGAATAGATAGAAATTTAAATATTGATATTGCATTAAATAATATATATAGCAAAATTGGTCTTTAGTAAAAAAAAATAAAAGCATTGCATGAATAAAAAAAAATTGATTTGTGCAAGAATTAGATCCAAATAACCAGGTGTTGTTAAAATTTTAGTATTATAGCTGTTTTTAATAATTTCAGCAATAATCGATTATGCATATCTTGCTAAATGATATTTTCAAAGCATATTCATTATTTATTAGTGTCTATTTATGTAATATAAATACTTATATTCAGAATATACAGGTTAGATATACAAATATATATATTGAATATATATTTAAGCAAATACGTACTTAGCTTTAAATATATTAATATTGTATATAGTTAAGAATACTATCGCTATATTAAAAAATATATTGATATATCAATATATAAATTATACCCTAAATCAAAATTTTATCACCAAATCAATTGGTCACATAAGTGTATCCAAAATATGTATAAATTAACTTTTTGGTCTATTTTAATTTTTGGATTTAAAATAGGACAGGTCACTTGATTTTAGTCTTTAGGTATCACATACTATATATATTTAATAACTAACAATAATAAAATTATACAAAAATTATAAAATTTATTTTAAGGGTAGATGTAGATAGATCATTTTTCATATAATCTGCATGGTATATTGGATTTTTACATAGTAAATAAAAAAATGTTTCTGATAAATCTTTTTAATATTTTAGTTAATTTTTATCAAATTTAACTAGTATATAGTTTAAACTAGTTTGTTTATACTAGTAAAGTTTTGGAATATACATTACTTTAAAAAAAATAAACTTTATATATAATCAAAGTTTTGGGGTTGCTATATGTTTTTCTAAGGTTATACAAGAAATTGCTAATTCTGATTGGTCAAATAATATGATATTTATATGTAAATCATATAATATTATATAAAATTGATTACACAAGTTGATCTACAATCTATTTTATATGAAATTAAAAATTTGTATACTCTACTCTTAATGCATTTATTTATAAAACTATATAATACAATGGTAATGTAATAGAATTTCTTTTTCTTTATTTTTTCTATTAGTTATTATCATATTTTATATTATAGTTAGTTATTATCTCTTATTATTATTTTAGTATATATTATATTTTTAGTATCTTTTTCTATATATTTATTATATTTTATTATAGTTATTTTTAGTTAGCTATAGGACAACACATTGAAGAAGACTTCTAAATGTCAAATAACTATAAATAGGATTTGTAGATCAACATGAGGGCTACACAATGATATATATTTTATTTTTAATTAATATGTAACTTATTGAGTAATAGAGCACTGAGTATTGATAAACATAATTTTGATCAGCATTGGCTCAGTGTTGTTTATTGGTGTTTTAGGAGATTCTACTTGAATTTTCTATATTGCTAAGGCTTTTCAAACATTTTGGAATATCTAAAAATATACTACAACACATGGTAGCCTTAAAACTAATTGAATATTGGTCTAAAAAGCTATAAAAAGGGTAGCTTTTTGCTTTTCTAAAAAGCAGAGTTGTCTCTATCTAAAATTCCTTTAATAAATTATATTTTATTTATTATTTTCTTGACAGTATTAATAAAAACTATTATTTATCTTTCTATTTTATTGATTCTATCTCTTATTTTATTATTTCTTATTCTTTTCTTGATAATAATATAAAGTGAAAGCTAATTTCATTAATAGTATTTTGGCAAATACTAGCTTTATATTATTAGAATTTAAAAGCTACATATAGTTGTTGACGGTCTGATTATTAATGCTTTCTTTTCTCTAGTTATATCTCAAGATATTTTTAAGTTCTAAAGTCTAATAATCCTTGTAAAGGGGAAGTATTTGCTATACCTAACCTATACAAACTGGCCAATAGGTTTAACCTTAAATACAATTACCTATTGCTAATCACCTTATAGTATCTAGGAGGCTAGTAAATTTAAATTCTGTTTTATATTTTTCTTTTCTATTCTTTCTTTTTATTTTCTTTAAATAAAAGATTGTCTACTTGGCACTTGTGTCTTTTAAAATTTGCTACAGCTTGCTAGTTTTTAGTAAATTTTATTATAGTAATATAACAACTATATTATATAGATCAGTATATAGCCAAACAAGGTTTAGAAACATTTTGATCAAGATCGGGATTTTTATCAAATTATATTTCTAAATATGTAATTTATTCACAATAAATTTTTTAGCTTGCATTAGCATAATAAAATTTTGTATAATTTTATACATGGATTAATAAATTTGTAACCCTAGTTATTGTAATCGCAATCTGTAAAGCCAATCAAATTTCAAGATCAGGTGTAACGTAAAATCAAAACAAATACTAGTTTTTTTAAAGAAATCGCCAATAACTCAAAATTTTGCTTATGAAACTATTCTTCGTGTTCTAACAAAAAAAATTTCTTGCAAAATTTTGATATAAACTATACTTTGCTCTGATCTTAATCTCGGGCTAACCTTGACTCTAACTTCAAAGAAAAAATATTGTTTTGATTCTCACATTACACCTAATCTTCAAATTTTAAGGGTAGAGTGTATGTCGATCATTTATCATATGATCTCAGTGGTACAACAGGATTTTATGCATAAATTAAAAT